ATTGCGCTTATTGCATTTCAGAAAAGGACCAAGGTGGTCAAGGTGGATGGTATGAAAGGGTATCGGTACTTTTTGTATGGGATGCAGCTTTCCTGGCTTTCGTCCCGGTGGAGTCTTGTAGTAAAGGCAATTTAAGCAGGAGTCAACAAATTTTTTTGCAAATCGACGCATCTTTGCAAACCAATAGTTTTCCTGTATCTTGATAGGGTCTTTTCTAGGTCAAAATGCCCCATATCGTCGTGGCATAGTTTGCATATCTGCCAACGATTGGCTCTCGGCACAACCCATTTTGCATCTTTTCCCAACTTCCGATGAACCTTGTCTCCTTTTAATATGTAGTTGTCAAAATATACCTTCAAGCCTGGATCTTGATTATTTGATTCTAAAATTTCTCGAATTCGACATATTTCTTCATCCTCTAACTGCGCTGCTTGTAGCCAGTCGACCCCAGCTGTATTTATTAAGGTGGGTTACGACTCAGGCAATCTACATGTGCCATTCTGGCACTAGGTCTGTATTCAATTTCATAATCAAAGTCCTGCATTTCGAGCCACCATCGTCCGACAAATTTCCGGTAATACGCAGCCAGCCCCAAAAACTGTCTGAATTGTCGAATATTTTTAAGGATGAGCATATCCAATATTGCTGCTATTTTTCGTCTGTCTGGTCGAACCCCTTAGATTGATATTTCACGTCCTAAGTATTCTATTGTGATTTGGAAGAAAGCATTTGGAAAGTTTTAAAGTTAAATTATGATCTCTGAGCCTCTGTAAAACCGCTTCTAATTTGCGTAATCCATCTTTGTATGTTTTAGCTGGTATGATAACGTCATCTATATAAACCAGTGCTGTTTCATGTCTAAGTTCTCCCAAGACGGTATTCATAAGGCGTTGAAATACCTCAGGGGCGTTAGCAAGACCAAACGGCATACGGAGGAACTCATAATGGTCGTTTGGCGTTATGAACGCTGTCTTTTCTACAGATTCTAGACTCATAGGAACTTGATAAAATCCTGAGACCAAGTCCAGTGCTATGAAATAACGGGAACCTGCCAATCTGTCTAAATAGTCCTCTATCAGTGGTGGTCGGTATCTATCCTTTTTGGTAATTTGATCTCTGAAATCTACGCAAATCCTTTTAGCACCGTCTTTCTTTTTAACCAATAATATGGGACTAGAATAAAACAACTGAGACTCCCGTATTATTTTGTACATCAGAAGATCATTGATCATTGTTTTTACCTCATTCCGTTCCGCCAGAGATAGCCGATAAGGTGCATAAGTTATAGGTTTGTCTGTAAAACATTTCTCCTGCGTTTTTGGAATCAGATATGTAATTAATAGTAAAACGATCACCTAACTGAACATTGTCTGCTGCAGGTAATTTGGATATTTGGAAACATTCTTTTGTTTTAATTACATGAACCGACGGGTAAAATTATTACTGCTTAAACCCTCATACCAAACCCTTGCCAGCCCTTTTAACTTTTCTAAGGTAAACAAAGTAAATTAAATAACGCTGACCTCATCCTAGTGGTACATTTCGGCGCATTCGTTAATTTTCTTTAACCAATCATCACCATTTGGTTACCTAATGATGTATCAAAGTCTGATAGGATAGTATCTTTAAAAAGCATCCAATTGGCGTTGGATTTACGTTCAGGTAAACTTTCGTTTTCGGACAGGCTTTCGGAAGGCTCCATAACGTACACGCTCAGATAGAAAATTCGATAAAAAGAAATACACACACGTTTAACAGCCTTTTTTTACGCACAGTTGTAACCAAAAAGAGTCTATGAAGTTCAGAATTGTGGACGTTCGGAGTCAAAATCCCACTCCTGAAATGTTGGAGATGAATTTAGAAACACTTTTAGTTTTTATTTTATATAGGTAAAATATATTAACTAGTCTTTAATCTACAATATTTTACATATCAGCGTTATACACGATAAAGGATAGAGCATTCTATATATGACCGATCGCGAATCTAGCAGGCTCAAGAGTGTCTCCTTTCGAAAATCTCTGACCCCATTGTTTTGGTTTTAGCCACAATTCCAGATAAGCTGGCGTGCATGGGCCAGTTCTGCTTTCACTGTATAACAAATTTTGAAGTTTACCTTTATAGAAAATCTCTTTTTGACATTCCTTAATTGTATGTTAACTATTATTTTTAGAATAGTTTTTGATAGTTTTATTTGTCAAATTCATATTAAAGTGATTTTTGTCTTTATTATTTTTCTTAAATTTTTGACAAAATATGTATTTTTATTCCTGTTAGAACAAAAGAATTATTCATACACGATAAACCGATAAAATTTACACATTAACAAGTTTGTTTATAAGATAATGTCTCTCGAACGTTCTCGGTGCTTTTTGTTTCCTTATCTAATTTACACGTCATAGAAGAAGACGACGATTTGATAAGTGTTTAAAGGTGACTTGACTCACCCTGAAGAAGGAAGTGAGGAATATGAAGCCTATTTGAAGAAATTTTTAAAAGCCTACAAAGCTAAGCAGACACTAACATCAGCAGAAAAAAACCGCTGAACTTGCTTTTAAATTGCACAACTCTTAAAGAAATATAGAACAAATTGCAAACATAATGCATGACATGAAATCAGATGAGAACTTATCGCTGGTATAAATACAGTTGCTAGACTTCAAGTGGAAAATAGGTGAATTGGTAGCACAAAAATATACAGTTGTTATAACTGTGAAAAAAGTGTACATTTGAATAAAAACTGAGAGAAAGATCATACAAGCAAGAACTGTTATCACAATAAAAGCAAAGTGAATCCACTACAGGAAAATTCTAATTTTACAAGCAGTAGATCTGGCAGCGGGATTCAACAGCAAAATTAGCGTTTATTGGAGAAAGGGTAAACAACAGTGGAAACGATTATTGACTGATCGACTCGGCAGCATGGAATCATATGGCAAATCGTCGGAAATAGTTTGTTTCTTTCCACAAATTTGAGGAACCAGTGAACATTTGCATAGGAAATGGAGCTTTAATGACTACATATGATAAAGATAAAATAGAAATAGAAACATTTGTGGATAATAAAATTCAAAACAGGACAATGTACTATGTATTGTATGTAGGTACCGAATTTGAAACAAAATTTATTTCTATAAAAGTTGTTGCAAAGAAGGGAATAGGTTTTCTAATCACAGATAATGGAAGGAAATAAAAATAAAAGTGTTGTTGTGATAGGCTCAGATGCAGGAAACCTTTATAAAATCAATATTCGTGTTTTATTACCAAAAGTATGTAATTTAAAAATGAAACGAATAATTCATGCGTGACAATGGCAGAATGTGTGCAATTATGACACGAACGACTTTGTCATCAAAACAATAGACATATTTAAAAAAATAAATTAAATATAAATGCTTTTTATGAAAGAAATTTTTATGAAGGTCGAGTTTTCATGGAAAGGTTGAACGTGCCCTTATCATTAGAGAAATACTTAGCACATATATTTACAGTCCAATGCAACATGAGTCTTTAGGAAAGAAAAGGTATTTCGCAATCTTTAAAGACAGTTTTTTGTAATATAAGAACAAAGAAATTTGTTGTAATTTCGGAAAATCTACTCTATAAGACATAAATCGGAGGTAACAGAAAAATTGAAAGTATTTTGTGTCGAAATTAAAAATTACTTAAAATAAAACGTAAAACAGATTCATATTGACGGAGGAAAAGAATCTAAAAATAAGTGTGTAGAAAACTTTTTGAGTAACAAAAGAATTAGACATACTGTAAATGATGCTTTCAAAATCAAATTTACCTTCGTTCTTGTGGGTTAAAGAAATGAATATAGCAGTACACGTAAGAAACCCGACCGGACCAACTAAACAAACAAACAAAACCCCTTTTGAATTGTGGAATGGTAAACAATCAAAGGTAAATCATTTCAAAATTTTTAGCACTGAATGTTTTTTTCACATACCTACCGAAAAACATAAGAAATAAGATCAAAAGGCAGTTAAAAACTAATTAGTAGGTTATGTTGATGATTGCAAAGGTTATCGTGTTTATGTTCTTAGTATAAGAGATGTCATATTAAGTCGAGATGTAAACGAAAAAGAAATTGAAAGGGACGGTAACATTGGCATCAAGAGGGAGGAACAGCAAGAGGGTTTACAATTTTCAGACGAACACCAAAGACAATTACGGCACAGAAATACAATAAAACCGACCGAGTTTTATAGCTGCTTAATAACATACTTAGCAGAAGCTTACCTTCAAATTATAAAGAAGCAATAAATTCAAATAAGACCATCTTTGGAAAACCGCGATGCAGGGCGAGATTAATTCATTATGCGAAAACAAAACTTGGGTTCTTGTTAAAAAACCAGAAAAGCAGAAAATAATCAGTAACCGATGGGTTTATACGAAAAAGAATAATCCGGATAAAGAACTTTTGTTCTGAAGCATTACAATAAAAATTAATATTAGGACAAGTAAATGTTTGAAATCGTTACCAAAAGTGGGAAACGAAATTACTTATTTATTTAATTTTCTTCTGATCTCAACTTTCTAAATAAATATACTGAGTGATTATAATTATATTGTTAAGAACCATTCCTTTGTGAACGGAATGAATCAGTTGTTTAGATTATCGGAACATATTTGGCGTCAACTGCGTCACCCGATGGAGGAACGCTGGATCAAGGGGGACAGACGAGGGATTCGATGTTAGACGCTTGACCGTGATGGTAACATTTGCTTGGGCGAGCATAATTGTTACGCACAGTTCCATACATATTTTTTTATTTAAAATAAACGTTTCTATTGGTGTTATTTTGTGTCGTTTTATTTTAACAATATCTTAACAGAAACGAAATAGATGACCCCACCCCTGACAGTAATAATATTTGAAACAGGTTTCGTAGGTCCTTTGGAATCTCACAAACTCTGCTTTATGTTTTAATCTGTATACATATCTTTATAATTGTGTTATATAATTTAATTTATATTGTTCTGTTTTTTAGTTTTCGATGCCACTAGTTCTTCAGTAACTGGTATTTTAAGTGGAAATGTCTATCATTTTGGAGATTGGGATGAATGTCTAACCGCAATGGCGCCCTTTGAAACTCAGTATTGTTTAACTAAAGTATATATGGAAGGACTAAATTTATCTTATGGAAGGAATCAATACTCAATTGAGTATTCTCCGTATGAATCCCTATTAAATAAGCTTTACGTGAGTACAAATATATTTATCTACTCTGTTTTGTAAACTCTATCGACTTTAATTGCACTGACTATCTCTAAACGAAGTTTAATAAAAATTATATTTTGTTTTCCGTTCTCATTGACTTGTGGCTCTAACTTATGCGATGATTGCAGGACATTTTGTATGTGTGGCCACAATTTTGTGAAAACCACAATATAGAACATTAACTATTAGGTATACGCACTGTTAATTGATTTTTGTCTAACTCTCCCGATAGTTTAGTTTTAATCTACCGATAGAGAAAGGTTCCGATATTATTTATTGTGTAGGGGTCAAACATGAGCTTAAAATAGAGGGGAGGGACATTGCTATTCGATCGCCGTATTAAAAATAGGGATGTAAGTAACTAATTCTTTTAATATTTTTAACCATTAAACATAAATGCGTTCTTAGTACTATTTCCGTCGTAACTGACAAAAATATCGCCCAACCCACTTGCTGCTTATAAATAACGCTAATGAATCAATGCGGACAGTATAGTAAACGTCATCTGTACTTATCATATACATATGTTATATTAATATACTTTTTTTTATGAATTTTGAGCTCTCATATTATGCTATCCAGAAGTAATGTATTTGTATGTGTGCTTCTACAACGTGATGCTCGAATAAATTCTATTTTGTGACTTTCGGGTTCATGTATTAGGTAAAGTAATTGAATTATATTATTGTAAGTTATCATATCATAAGTTAACTTTGGACTATTCAATTCATGCAAGGAATAAATTAGACACAAGTCAAACAGTTAAATTAGGGCCTAGAGAAGGACACGTATCATTGATAAAACTTTTATATTTTGTTACTTTTGTTTATGTACAAAAAATATTTTTATGCAGTCATAGTTAAAATATTTTTAGATTCATAATACGTAAACATAAGCTTTCGACTGGACATGCTTTTCTCTACCCTGTGGGTACTTATTTCTATCACGTTAGTTTTCTCTTCTACGTATACAACTCACACACAGAATCGGCTTCGAACTGTGAATTGTTGATGCTATCTTAAACAACTTTTTCTTTTAACCACACTGATGAAATCACTGACTGAGCACTTTGCGAAACAATTGAAAGGAACATTAGAAGAAAGAAAGGAAAAAAGATAAGGAAATAATATTAGAAGAAGTAAAACGGGCAATAAAAATGCTAAAAATGAAGAAGGCAGCAGGGGAAGACAAAATTAAGCTTCTTTTTCTCTTCTTAAACCATTTTTGCAATCACTTGTCACATGACCCTTTTTATTGCAAATTTAGCATTTAATTATACGTATTTGACCTTTATCATCACTCTTCGATATATCAGATTCCGTAGCTTTCTGTTTTTCTGATTTATTTTCTGCTACCCTACGATCAAACTTTCGATTCGGAATATCTCTTTTATGCTTTGGCTCAACATATAAGTTTACACCTCGAAAGGCTAATAGCAATTCAGACTTTTTCTTCACACGCAACACACGAGCTTGATTACGAAGCGCACGTTCTGAAATACCCTCAATCAAATATTCAATTAATTTCTCTTCATCATTAACTGGGACTACTACTACTACTACTACTACTACTGGTCATACTAATAATCATCGAACGTTTCACTAGTTTGCCATTTGCGATTCTCAAACTCTCTTTTTCGTTGTAATTTCGTTGAACTATGTATGATCAAAGAATTCTTTCATTGTCTTTAATAGTTGAGGCTTTTCCTTTTGGTTTGCTACTAATTAATACTTTCAACAGATCATCATCTAGTACAAACACTTTTTTCAAAAAACGCACTTGCTTTTCCCATTCAATGAACTCTACGCCACCATCATAATCTTTCAAGGACTTACCTACGTACATCATTGACACTGGTTATCGGAACTACTGGCATCTAAAACTGTACATTCCTGTTCTTTATTGCATATTCTCGTTGCATTAACTCTCGTTCACGTTCTAACTAAGAAATTTTCCCTTGCATGAATTAACGTTCACTTCTTAACAATTCAAGCTCCTTTCTGATGAGCCTGTTACCTTCCTCGCTTTCTGGTACAGTCTCACCCTGAACTCTTCCTGTTGTATCCTCTTCTGACACAGAACCTCTACTTTGTTCTTCTAAAAATGAACGATGAATTCTCATATTTCGATTCATTTCACTTGTTACCAATTCATTACTCTGCTCTCTAGAAGCCATCCATATACCTGGAGGATCTGCTTCCATCAATCGCACTATAAGTCCATTTCCTGTAGTAGATAAACCCAGGTTACGTAACTGTTCTTTTAACTCCACTACCGTGAGTGCACTTGTATCACTAATCTTTAAAAGCAGTACAAGATGTTATAAAAATAGGACAAAAAGAATTGAAAGCAGCTCAGGAAGAAATGAAACAAGAATGCAAGCAGTACAAGAAGCAATAAATACAAGAATTGAGGTGGATCATTTCCCCGAATACTTTAAAATTGGGGCTGATATTATACCTGTATATGTTTAAAAATATTAATGAACTAATGGGCATTACTAAAACGAGGACTACGCTCTTACATCCACAGTCTGATGGAATGGTTGAACGATTTAACGCCACTCTGGAGACCAATTTAAGAAACGTTATCAACGAACACTAAACTGACTGGGACCGACACATACCACCATTTTTCCTGGCTTATACATCCGCCGTTCATGAGACAACTGGAAGAACACCAACCAGCGTTTTATTCGGGAAATAACTGAGGTTGCTAGCGGATATGAAGTTTGATCATTTCTGGACTCTCCGCTACCTACAGATGAATACGTGAAGGAACCACATCGTTAATTATTTATTGTTTATTTATTTTTTTACTATTGTTGTCTGTAATCTACCGTATTGCAATTAATTCCTTAAAGTAAAAAGAATTTACGAATTTCGTGATCCTCCGCCGAAGACAAATAATTTGTTCATATTAGAACCAACTCTCCGTGTTCAAAAACTTCTGGTTTCACTTTTGAACCATAACACTTTTTCCTTTTTTCAGCTTTGGAGAGAAGAGTTTCATAAGCTATTTCACGACATATACGATTGTACTGAGGGTCTACAGAAAATTTTTTATCTTTCTAGATTGGATTTTCACGTTCTTTACCAAAATGCAATTCATTGGGAGTGAACCCCGTACTCTGATGAATGGCATTATTTAGTCAAATCTCTATTTTATCTAACCAGTAGGCCCATATAGTATGTTTATCATGACAATATGCCCGTAACAATCGACGGATCTCTCGATTCACTCTTCATCTTCTCTATGTCCATTACCTATGTTCTGAAGTTTAGCTAGAGCTAAGCGACCCCTAGAATTTTCTTTGAGAGAATTGATCTCTACACCGGGTTTTTGAGGTGTTTCCCCATAATAGTATTTACCATCATACCATATACCTACATAGTGTATCCGCCAAACCGTTGTCTTTGCCCTAACAATGATTGATAATTGGAGCAAATTCTTTGTTAAAAAGTATCCATTTAGATAACCGTGAGCTTGACAATCTGCATTTATTCCGAAAAGCAAACATTTGTGATCAGTAATAATTGTCAAACACTGACCCAAACTCAAAACTCCAAGACTTCAACGCGATGGCTAATAATTCCCTTTTCGAAATCGTATAATTTAGTTGTGTACTACCTAATAGCCTGCTGCAGGATGTAATAATACTACGAGCTTTAGCCTTGGGGTCAATTTGAATAAATACCCACCAATAGCATAATCGGAACTGCCTGTTTGAATAAAGTATTCCACCTTAGATAAAGGGTGTTTAAGCATTGTAACCGTTAAAGAAGCTAATTTGATTTCCTCGAAGGCTATTTTCGCCTCTACCCCCCAATTCCAAGATATATCCATCCTGAGCAATTTAACTAATGGTATTAATTCCCCAAACCCCTCACAAAATCTACGATCGTAACTACACATCCCAAGGAATGCCTTTAGATTTCTATGTACGGGAAATTCCTCTACTGCCTTAATTCGGTTTTGATCCATCTCGATCCCTGTTGAAGTAATATGACCCAAAAATTTTATTGTACCTCGTGCAAAACTAGATGTACGTAATTTGACTGTTATGTTAGCCTTGCTCAGCCGTTTAAAAACTTCTTCTAAATGGTTTAAGTGTGTTTGTAGATTTTGTGAAAAAATCAACATATCGTCCAGGTACGGTGTGACGAATTTCAAACTTTCTGGCCCTAATATTTTAGTAAGCCAGCGAATCCTTTTTATCATTTTCGCGCATTCCCGCGCGGTAATTATCTTCGACTGAACAATTTTCGGTTCCAAGTCTTGTCAATTTTCCGAAAAAGCAATTCTACGTCTTCAAATGATTGAAATCCCACATTTAAAATACCTCGTTGCGCCTCAGATGAAAAATGATTATTTATAAATTCAGTAACATCTTTTTCATTTAATTTCATGTCAGACAAATAGCGTGCTTCTGTTGCAAAAATAAAAAAAACTTCTGCCCTACTACCGTGTTTGAATTGACCATATTTCATCATCACAATCATCATAAGGTCGTCAGTCCTAAGACTGGTTGGACACGCAACTCCAACCTTTCCTATCCTGAGCTAATCTTCGTATTTCCCTAAAACTATAACAACCCAAATCCTTAATTATTTGCGAAAAGTAATGTAATCTAGGTCTACTTCTACCCCTCCTAACTCCCATTTCTGTCTCTAATACGTCTCTGACTAGACCTTTATGTCCTACTAACCTATCTCGCCTATTTCTGATTAAATTTCTCACTTCGAACGCTTCTAATCATTTCTTTTCCGCCGCGCCCACTCTCCATGTTTCGCACCCGTACAGCGCCGCAATCAAAAGATACACCTTCAACAACCTTTTTCGAATTTCTAAATGAACCGTTCACGAGCACAGAAGTGACTTCGTGTTATGAAAGGCGACTCGACCCTGCGCTATCCTCTGCTTTATATCCCTACTACTCCTTCTGACTGACTGCCTAAATACCTAAAATCGGTCAGTTCCTT